GAATGTGAATCTTTTCCCAATGTCATTCCTTTTTACTTACTTCCATTTCTATGTAACTTGAAAGAGATTGAGGTAAGCAACTGTCAATCTGTGAAGGCAATATTTGATGTGAATGGTGCAGCAGCAGATATGAAACCGATTTCTCTTCCTTTGAAGAAACTCATTCTAAATCAGTTGCCAAATCTGGAGCACATCTGGAATCTGAATCCTGATGAAATTCTGAGCCTTCAAGACTTGCAACAAGTGTCGATTTCTAACTGTCAAACCCTTAAAAGTTTGTTTCCAACATCAGTGGCCAATCATCTTGTTAAGCTTCATGTGAGAGCTTGTGCAACATTGGTAGAAATTTTTGCAGTGGCTGATGCAGCCATCAATGGAGAAACTAAGAAGTTCAATTTCCATTGTCTGACCTCATTAACACTATGGGAATTGCCAGAGCTCAAATACTTGTACCCTGGAAAACACACTCTGGAATGGCCAATGCTAACACATCTAGATATATATCATTGTGATCAGTTGAAATTGTTTAAAACTGAGCATCATAGTGATGAATTTGCAGATACAGAGGATCAACTCGGTATTTCAATACATCAGCAAGCTGCTTTCTCGGTTGAAAAGGTACCAAAATATCTTTCCTCTATGCAGTTTTCATGTTGTGTTTGCGTGTCTCCATATGAATAAATTAGTGCGAAATTTATCAAATGTTTTGAACAATTGCTAGGTTTTTCCAAAGTTGGTGCAATTATCACTCAAAAAGGAAGACGCCATGGCAATTTAGCAAGGACAACTCCAGGCAAGGACAATTTCTAAAATTTTACTGGTTTCATAACTCTCCCAGAATGACACCTTTTGGTATTCATATACCTTTTTATGTTCCAAAATTTCTTAGGTTATACCAAGCATTGAACACCAAGAAATCACTAGGAAGGACACTAAGATTGGACAAGGACAATTTGGAGCAAATGTTGCACAACTCCTGCAAAATTTAAAACTTCTCAAATTAATGTGCTATCATGAAGATGATAAGTCAAATATATTCTCAAGAGGATTACTTGAAGAGATAACCAACATTGAAAATCTTGAAGTGGTTTGCAGTTCCTTCACTGAAATATTCTGCTCTCAAGGACCTACCAATGATTGTAGCAAAGTACTTCTAAAGCTGAAAAGATTACATCTGAAGAATCTCCCACAGCTTAATACCATCGGATTAGAGCACTCATGGGTAGAACCCTTACTTAAAACACTAGAAACATTGGAAGTGTTTTCATGCCCTAACATGAAAATTTTGGGGCCATCCACCTTGTCTTTTTCAAGTCTTACCTCTTTGAGTGTTGATGAATGCCATGGATTGTTATATCTGTTCACATCCTCAACAGCCAAAAGACTAGGTCAACTGAAGCACTTTTCCATACGGGATTGTCAAGCAATACAGGAAATAGTGTCCAAAGAGGAAGATCATGAATCAGAAGATGAAGATATAACATTTGACCAGCTCAGCATTTTGTCTCTTCAATCTTTACCAAACATCGTAGTAATTTACTCAGGAACTTTCAAGTTAAAGTTCCCATGCTTGGATCAAGTGACTATAAAGGAATGCCCTCAAATGAAATACTCTTATGTACCTGATTTGCATGAATTCAAGCCTCAGGAGCGAACTTAATTGCAAGAGCTGAGTTTGTTGGCAGGTATAAACTCGCTAAGTCAACACATTTTGTTAGAAAATTCACATGAATGTATTTGGTAACCAACAGCTTCATTTCTTACCAAGTTTTTCCTAAACTTTCTTGCGTGCATAAACTTTGTTCTAATGTTTATCCGTCATCAGTATGGTACATGCCCCCTTCTGTTTGAGGCAAGCTATACAACATAAATATCAGTTTTATTTCAATAGTTTGGTTTTGGAAATTGTGTTCTGTTACCGTTTCTAACACTATTGTTTTACATTGTTTGCGGAAAAATATAGAAGTGATAACTTATATGACACCGAAAGATATTGTCGGTATAGTAGTTGTTTATGTAAGTAGGGTCAGTCGGTCACTTATAGAAGTTTGTTGTGCAATACTCCACGTCTTCACACTCAAATACTCCACGTCTTCACACTCATATTCATGTGCAATACTATAAAAATTGTTTTGATGCTAAAGTTAATTCAAATCCAAATACTAGATAATAAATATTGTAATAAATGCGTAATCAACCACCTTACCTATTCGTATTTATAGTTTTGGTAATTGTTTATTTAAGGTTGGTTTAATTACATTCTAAATATTTTTAAATTTCATCAATGACTTAATCCTTATTACTAATTTGTTTTAGATCAAACACTCGGTCCTTCGATTTTGATTTTATTGGCGCCTTACCAAACCGATCGACATATTGGCATTAGACATGATGGGTGAAATTTAATGAAGGCTGGTGCGATAAGGATGTTTGACCATAATCGATCAACGTGTTGTCTGAATATTTGACCGGTCAATCTATAATATACATTTGAGGAGGGATAACCAGAACTGACACTCAAGTCATAATTTTTTTCTAAAGGTCTAAAGTAGTTTGATTATGGAAAAAAATGTCATTTACCTCGAAATTAAACCTTTATTTATAAAGTTTACAAAAATCTGACCAATTAATTTATCTCTTAATGGTTATTAATGTGAGTCTTGATTAGTCATCAATATCAGTTATTGTATTGATTGCACTTTAACTCTGCTTAATTGTTGTCGTGATAACGAAGTCTTTTTCTATGCCCGGTCGTTCGGTCCATTCTACTTAGCATGCAATCATACCCGACCGGTCGGGTCTAACCTTATAGTAACATGATCCCTCCAAGCCCTAGCAAAACCTTGGATATTGCGTAGGGTTTATTTAGTTATACTGATCATAGGTGAAAACCATACATGAAGGGTGAGCAACCAGAAATATCATAACACACAATATACAATAATTATTTGAAACAAATAATAAAATAATCATAAACATATTTCATCACATCATTAACATCACAACCCAATCATTCATGATTCAATATCGTTTTCTTCTCACTAGTACAGTCAGGTGAAACGACAGCGGTTGTTTTTTGTTATAGGCACCGGTTCAGACCCGAGGCAAAAAGTGAACTACTTTTGACATCGGTTCTACCATAACCGAAGCAGTAAGGTTTTTGATTTTTTTTTGTTTTTGGAAGGACTATAGGCCTCGGGTTATTGGAACAGAGGTCGTATGTTCCACCCTACTGCCCCGGTTATAGCTTGAAACGAGGCAGTAGAGGTATTTTTTTTTATGCAGTACTTTCTGCCTCTGGTGTGGTCATAACCGAGGCATAAGTTGCTTTTCTACCTCGGATTTTACACTAACCGAGGCATATCAGCTTGTTTTTTTTAAAAAAATAAGGTCTGTTTATGCAACATTCCCAACAACAGAAACAGACCTGCATATATATTTATAGCCAAAACAATCGAGAATAATCAAGAAACGTATATTTTTAATGAAAATTATAATAAAACATAAATACATTCAATTGAATCATAAATCAACTTCTTATAAGCATAAATCAATCCAATTATAATCATAAATCAAGTTTGAAGCATAAATCAATGTAATGTACAAAGTTAAACTAATAGTAATGTAGATAAGCATGAGACAACTTAGAAACATAAAATTAGAACTTACTATATCCTAATAACTTACTATATCCTAATATCTA